TTATTATTATTATTATTATTATTATTATTATTATTATCATCATTATTATTATTATTATAGTAAGACAACATTTTTACTAACATCTTATAATAGAGTTGTTGAATAGTTTAGTGGTTAATATGATTGCCTTCTCATCCTGACTTATTCTAACTAAAAAAATTAAAAAAAACTCCACCTCCTAAACCTCGCATTATGACACTTGGTTTATAAAGCATCATTCCATCCTGTAAGTGGTGAGTGTACATAATGTTGGATGCGAAGGAGATAAATAAATAAATTTGCTCATTTCAGATAGCTATTTCATATTTTATTTAGCTTTTCACAGCCAAAGGAAGTCTGTAGTAGGCCTTCTTGTGATTATGATAAGCACTCTCTACCGTAAATAATCAATATTTTCACTACTTGGCAAGTGTACTGTACAGTTTGTGTTAATTATGTCAGTCATTTTTCATTAACTCCAACCTGATCACAAATTTTGTTTCTAATTCCACGTATATTGTCCATGTTATCATCATCTCTAAAATAAATGAAATTGAAAAATGAAAATAAAAAATGAAGATATTTTAAAGAACACACACAAACACAAGGTTTTTAACTTCTGAATAAAATCATAGAGGAATCGGTATTAAACAAAATAAGTGTATAAAAAATAAATGACAATCATTAGGCCTACTATTCATTCAACAGTTACATATCGTAAATTCAAAATCAGACCTCTTTTTCCTTAACAATTTAGGCAGAGTGAGCAATGCTGTAGGGTTCACCATTTCTCCGCCAAGTATGTTTACAATCCCTGCACATATTACATGCACTGGTGTTTTGGGTCCGCCTCCCCTCTGTACGCAAGTTTTAGAGTGAATTTGCTAAATGGGAGTATTATGGGCGATGATAGTTTTATAGGGCTCAAATTCACTGGTAGGCGGAAGTCTACTACTGAAGATAGCACCCATTTATATCCCTGGGTACATAAAGTGCCTTAACTAGAGCAAAAATGTACGGTACTGCACCCACGACCAACGAATCCCACTTAGGCCTAAGTTACAGCAAATCAGAAAGAATCATAATTTTACTTTTAAAAAAGAAATTTATTATAATAATAAACTTTCTTTATTGTGTAGATTGTATTTAGGGTTACATAATATTATGATTCAAACAAAATTAATAAAATAAACTCACCACATGGCATCACCAGTATTGTTAATATCTTTACTTGATTTTCTTCTGGTGTCAAAAATCATCGAAAATCAATAATGTCTGATAAAGTTTATTTGCAGTTAGATTTTCGTATCTAATTTAAGACGTAATTAAAGAAATATGCATAAAACTGTACTTTTTTTTCAAATATTCCTCAGTGGCACCTTACAAAGCCCAGCCTTAGATACAAGGTACCACTGACAAAGACCATAATAAAGTATGTATGTGCATGTACAAGTATGGAAAAAATACGATTCATCAGCAAATGCAAATTATAAAACAAAGAATTCGATTTCAATTTTCTTTTGCAGAAGAGTTTGCACAAAAATGTGCACAAGCAAATGTTTATTATAGTATTGACAGCTTCGATTTGAAATTCCTTTTGCACAAAAATATACACAGAAACAAATTTGCTTGTTTTTGAAACATAGTCGTTTTTATGCAAAAGAAAATTAAAATCCAAGACCAAATGAAGACCAAAAAGTAATTAGATTAGTATTTAACTCATGCAATTGGCTTAAACCTATCTGTATCAACAATAAATTTCTGGACACAATTAAACATATATAGATTTTGGTCTTCATTTAAAAATGTACATCCAAAACAAAAAAGAAAAAAAAAAATCAGAGGGAAAACCAAGGTCGGCAGTACTCAAGGATAGGTCGTTGGCAAACATTTTGGAGAGAAATTCCCACACATCGGTAAGCAGTTCTTGGCTTTGAGCAGCAAATAAAGGACATTTATTAAAATAATGCAATGGATCTTCTATGCTGCATTGCTGTTACCACATGGACATAGTGGATCGGGATGAAATCCAAAATTGAAAAGATGAGCATTCGGACTGCTGAAACGCAGTATGATTCTAGTATGGATTTCATTTGTTTCTTTTAAAAAAGTTTAAAGTTGGACAGATTTGGGCTTTAATTCTTAGGTTGTTCCATGATGTAATGACAGAAGGAACGTTTGTAAGATGTGGTATTGCAAAATGGGGATCTTCTATTCCTTACATTGCATTGCGTGGATTATATATCGCAGTATTTGTGGATAAAAATACCGTAGCTTTTAGGTAAGAAGAAGCAAGATTATTCGCAGCCTTGAAGAAAATGCATAACTTAAAATAAGTTCGTCTATCTTTCAGTAGGGGAAAGGCCTAGACTGGGTTCCAGTCCCTAATCTTTGTCTTAATCAGTAAAAAAGCTAGGAAAATCGATTTTGGCACCAATGGCGTTCCATATTACCTATTTGCTTGGCGTTTCATAGTATACTTTTTCTTGGATTTCTAATTCGCATAAAAGTTTCTCGATATATACTGACGCTGGTGGCGCTCTCCAAAATTAGCTAATACTAGGAAAACCTATAATTAGAGACTTGTGGCAAGTCTAGGGAGGGGCCATGCGAGTTCTGTTCGAATAGTATTGTGATTCGTATGTTTCCATGCGCCTATACATATTCTACAATTTTATCTGAAAAGACTCCAATTTATCACTTAAGTGAGACATATTACCCCAAACAGGAGCAGCATATTCGATCAATGGGCGGATACATGTAAGATAGATATTTATTAGTGTGGATCGTGACAGAACTTTTTTACTCCGTAAAACATATTTAATGCGGTTGTTGCTTTATTCAATATAGTATTTATGTGAATATTCCAAGATAAATCTGAACTGAATGTCACACCTAAATGCTTATGGCAAGACACAAAGTGGATCCTTTTTCCGTTGAAATATATATTCATGTTGTTATCTAATGATTTCCGAGTAATTAACATTGCTGTGTTTTTTTAAAATTTTAAATGTCACTTTCCATTTTACGGCCCTGACAGAAATTAGCTTATCTAGTCTTCTTAATTCATTTTAGTTTCAGCAGCAGTTCTGTTGGTACATATATCATACAACGATGTATCATCACCACATAAATTGGTATTGCATTCCAAACCATCGGCAATATCGTTCATATATATTATCGTTCATATATATTAGGAATAAAAAGGGCCAGAGTACAGATCACTGAGGAACCCCAGCATTTAAAACTACTTAAAGTAAGTGGAAGCAATTTGGGGTTCGAAAACAAGTTTGTGTGAGGAAAACACTTTATATGGATATAAATGATTATCCGTGTGTGCCTAAATACAAAGGAAAGAGACATAGGCACTCATGCCTTTGAACCCAGAGCATAAGTTTTGACTTAACCTTATCTTATATAAACCATAGTACAAATATTGTGTTCTGTAGATTTCAAGGTTGGTTCATATGGGTCTTACTAAACCTTAATACAGAGTGCTGCTTGTTGTATCGTGTAGGGCAATAGGTGATATGTACCTTCGTGTTTTTTTTCAATTATTTTCATATATTTTATAAAACAAAAATCAATTAAATATGTAGACTCAAAAAAATACTAGTTTCATTAATTTAAGCATTTACCATATATATAAATACATATCGCATGCCAAACTATACTTACCATCGGATACTTGTGACCAAAAAAAAGAAAAGATGAGAATTTGTGAGAATTATTTGTAATGATTGAGTCTCCTCTTTGGGTGGAATTAAGTCGGAAAAGTAGAAAATCAAATTTGATGAATAAAAATAGTTCTTTTCGTAGCACAAACCCTGAAATACAATGCATAGTATCGGTAAATATTTTTTTAGTAGCACTGCAGGCCTAATGTAAGTCCCTATAGCTTTACCTTATTAAAAAAAACGTAGTATAACTACTGTGTTCTATTTGTTTTGCAGATTGCAAGATTGGATCAAATGGGGTCTTGGTGGTATTTCAGTAGAAAATCACAAAGTCAGGAATGAGGAAGTAAGAAAATAATATACAAACTAAGCGGAGATATACATTCTAGCTACCAGTGTAACAGTTGTCTGCAAGTCATGCATAGAATGGAGTACAAAGGTGTCTAATAAAAGGTGTGTTTAATAATAAAACTACATCCTCGATCATGTACAGTTCCATTTTACAGTCAATATTTTAATGTTGTACATTCATTTTTTAGAAAATGTAGTTTTCTTGCTTTTTTAGTTTTAAATTATTTTTTTCATTTATTGGTGAGAGGTGCGATTACTTGTTATGTTTTAAAGCTCTACCACCCTATCAGAGCAAGACCAAAGTATAGTTGGTAGTGTGGAGTTACAATAGTGGTGGAGATTCCAGTGGATAATTTAAAAAAATGAGTTAGTCATTTCAGATCTCAGTATGTCAATTCACCAAAACAATCATACAATTTAAAAATGAGATATTTTTTTCACTTTAAATGTTAACTTGCTTATTTGTTGTATAGCGTTTTTTAAACTTACATCTGTGGTTCTTTCTTTACGTTTTAATGGGCTTTTATTATTAATGTTGTAGAGTCTTTCCAAGTGTTTCAAATTCATTAATAGATTTGTTAATAGATTCGGTAAAAAAAATACACAACCTACATAGGGCCTAAATCTGCCACACTCAGGTTGAAACTTACATGAAGCCTGTTTTTCTTTAAATTTATACAGCACTATTTTTGTCAGATCTCCTCCTCAGAAATCTATTTTAGTACAATTTGATCATCTAAGCCACTAACATTTGTGAAATCTGGGGGCTTCACTTCCCACCAACTGGGGCTCTGCTTCTCGACTCCACCAAAGTTGTTCGATCAGTAGGTCTTAGTGGGTCAATTCAAGCTATTGTACCCACTTCTCAAACAAAAATATGGAATCATCGTCACTGCCATTGAGTGTAACTCATGTATAGAACGGAGTACAAAAAGGTTGGTATCACACATTACTGACTTTGAATAGCATACCGGTATAAAGCGTGTGTATAAATACCACTGCATCCACAACCAATTGCAGTTCCTTTTTGAGATTTTTTAGCGTCAGTTGCAGTTATTAAGCTTTAGAAAATAATTATTGTGAATTACTTCACTACTTCCAAATACTACATTGAGAATAATACAAGGTAAGAATTGAAATTATTAGTAATAATTATACAATTCTAGAGGACAAAAATGTGATGGATAGTTTGGTATAGACCAAATAAATCAAGACGGTAATTAATTGAATAATCCCAATTAAGAAAAATATTTAGAGTTTTGTTGAATAATTTAAAATATGCTTAATTATATATTTGAGTTATTTATTTGGATATTTAAGCAATGTTGATATTGTAATAAATCTCTATTGATAATTGAATTAATAGCCATTAATAATTAAATACAATCAATTCTGTCTTCTTCATCATAATCAGTACATTTATAATCTATATTAGTTTACATGAGAATTTATATTGTTAATGCAACTAATTCTGAAAAATTGTTGATATTGTCAAAATAAATGTTATAATAAAGTATATTAATCTAGAAGTGTGTGTTCATAGTCAGTGGCGGCGTCAGTGGCGACGCCAGCGGGGGGGGGGAACAGGTCCTTAAGCCCCCCCACCGTACAAGTCAAGCCCCCTTTGGACAGAGCTTGTCGGGCACTGTCGGACTAAAAAAATATAAAAATAGGCCCACGCCAAGACAACACAGGTCCGTCACAGTCTGAGAGTGTCATTTATGGCCATCCAGAGGTTCCTATTCTTTAAAGAAAATTATTTGGGATGGGGAACACACTCTCAAACCATTCCCCCTGTCTCGGGCCTACGAGCTCAAGTTCCCCCTGCCGGACAGCTCAGTCCCCCCCCACCCCCAGAAAATATATCCTAGAGTCGCCACTATTCATAGTGTAATAGTTAAGCCTAGAAAGCAAGTATTGTGAATCGTGTAAGGTGTTGGACTTCTGATCTGGAGTTCGAGACCGACGCTTGTCACATTTCTTGTGTCCTGGGGCAAAGGCACTTTAAACTACTTACGTTTGCCTCTTTCCACCCAGGAGTATAAAATTGGTACCAAATAAGATGATATGGCAATGCAAGTATTAGTCTGCATCGGAATTAAGTTATACACACGATTAGGAATACTCCCACGAAGTGGAGAAAGTTATTACTTTGTACTGGTTTGATCAGGATCCGATGACTAGGGCAGTGGCGTAGCTAGAGGTTTGGCGCCCCGGGGAAAGAGTAGAAAATTGCGCCCCTTCCCCATTATAATTATAATATTTTGAAATAAATTTATATTGGTTGTATAGACTTTAAGGATATCCGTACCGTACGTCCATATCATGCACTGTCTACATAAAATTATTTAACCACGAATAACTATTATTATTCTAGCTTTCATGTGTTCTTTCTTACCAGTGTGGCTCCAGGATTTGCCCGAGGGGGTCCGAGGTCTGGGGAAAGGGGGGGGTGCAGCTTTCCCCTAAGGGGGCCTGGCGCCACCCCTGTTTCTTACTATTGAAACGGCATTACGATGTTCGGAACTTTGTGTACAACTTTACCATTATCCTGATTTGTAAGCCAGTTGTATTTATCGCATACAGCTTAGTTTTCTTATTCTCTAAATTTATCTTATAGTAGAGTTTTGTAAGTTTCTGAATTTTTAACATTATTTAAATTCGCAACTGAATTTTGTGCTTTTGCATCAGCAATAACATGATCAAAGTTACTGTAGTAATGTTGTCTGCTTCATCACGCTCAGTACTAAGTAGTGCCAAAGCAGTAGTCTCGCTTTTCCAATCGTGGCTCTGAGATGTGGCAGGATGAGCTTTAGTCATGTAGTCATTACAGAATAGGATAAACAAAAAAACAAGAGAAAACGGTCGAAATGGACTCGAAAAGAAATCACAATCTATAATATTTGCCAATTAAAACAACTACATTCAGATTCTTGTTATTAACAGGAAAATATTTATGCCTGACAACATACATCAATTTCGTCGTATTTTTCAAAAAATTTAATAACAACATCTCCAGCGCCTTGTATTTCTTGGCAAAAGGCGCGGTATAAATCTCCATATTTACTATTATTATTATTATCATCATCATCATCATCATCATCATCATCATCATCATCTATTAATATTATTATTATTATTATTATTATTATTATTATGATGATGATGATGATGATGATGATTATTATTATTGGATCTTCAACAATTGCCTAGAGGTACGGCATACCTATTCCAATGGAGAGTACTGTATTTCAGGGAAATGTTATGCCGTCTCCCAGCATCTGGATATTGACAGAGCTATCAAGCGTTTGTTGTTTATCTCACGCTTTCAGGCTTAAGAGCCAAAATCTGGCTCACAAAATGTAATATTACCTATATTAAAAATTATGGAAACTTTAATATAGGCCTTCGGCTTCCAAAAAAAAAAAGAATCAATTGCATTTTTGAATGGCTCATTTAAAATTACCAAGTAAGTTATTAACTTCAATCAGAAACAGATCGAAACATTTTTTTCCCATAACTTCCTTAAACTGATGAACAGACAGTTGAAGGGTCCTAAAAAGAATCAATGGCGGAAGCACAATGTGGCCAGGATGGCTTAGGCCCACGCAACAATTTTTATAAGTGGGCCAATCCCAAACTTAAAATTTTAATATTAAATTTGCCAAACATTAGGCCAACTTTGGGCGAAGCATGTATTATTAGTCCATGGTCGGAAGGTAATTTGAGATTGCAAAGGAAAACCTGGGATTTTGAAACTACCCACCCTAGTCAATGATGTGAAGGTTGTAATTAGTGGCACCACCATCTGCCATTACAATGGTTTTGTTCATCCATTAAGTAATTGCCAAATGAATGAATAAATAAATAAATAAATTGCAGTGTATGTTTCATTTTACATTTCTCTACAGGCTTCTGCTGACACAGTCAACAGTCACCAACAAAGCAAAGAAGCTGTATACTGTTAGCAACTATGGCAGCATCCGTAGACTTTCTATATAGTACGACTTTTTGAATTTTCATTTTCACAAATGAAAGGCATACTAAAATGCATCTTAACTTAACAGTCACTTCAACCTCCTTAATAAACCTGCCAAATATGTAACGTAATTTAATAAGGGAAAGAAATTCTTCAGAAGACAAATATTGGGTCAAAAACAAAAAGTGTTTGTTTGTTTGCCCTCCTTCACCCGCCCCTAACTCACTGAAAAAAATAGGGTGGAAAAACAAAAAAAATTAAACAAGTTTTTTTTAGCCTTTTTCTTTACAAATTATAAAAAAATGTGAGTAAATTTATCTTTATTTTTTTGATAGATGCCATTCTAGGATTCTGTGGGTTATTATATTCCATCTGATGAGTATCTTAAAAAAAAAAAAAAAAAAAAAAATCTTTTTCCATCCTCCCCTTTTTAACCTTAAAAAAAGGGCAAACCAACAATTATTTTTTTAGGTCTTGTTACAATCTTAGTACTCTAATCCTCATTCAGGCTTAGACTCAATTTTGTTTTGTCGTATAAGCAGTGTCGGATCCAGGAATTCGAAATAGAGGGGCCCAAATAAAGAATTTCACAGGTAGGGGACTGAAAAAGTTTCCCCTTGATAGGGTTGCCTCTATTCAGGGGGGACTCTAAACAAAAATGTGAAACTGTCCCCTTAATAGAAGTTTTTTGCATGTTTTCGTGCAAGAATGGCACACATTCCTTATAATTTTATTTTTAATGACGAGCATATTTTAAGAATCAGTTACCAATAGAATTAATAGCAATAATTTGCAATGCAAATATAATTCATTTATAATATTAAATCAGAAGAAATGTAATTAAAACAAACAATAGTTTGAAATGCTAAAAATATTACTTCATCTTCTTCCTCCTCCATTCCTCCATTAACTCAATCCTGAGTATTCTGGCAGTATTATTTCATGATGCAATTTTAATGACCAAAATACTTATTTTTATAGTGAGTTTTCTATTAGATGAAATATCATATTAATAGGCTAACAATTAAAATTAAAGACCATGCTATGGTATGGAATAGAATCCTATATGAAAGTACACGAAAAACAAAGACAAAGATTTAAGTGTCAAAATTGATAAAGATACTTAACACATGCAGTAGGCTTATACCGATGTTCACTCTAAGAATTCAGGGGAGAAAATTCTAGTTTATTGCTCTAAAGGTGTCAAAATATAGAGTTGAATGAATTTTTCTTATTTTGAGACTGCTGTAGTTGTAGAGAGACAATTAAAAATAATATCATCTGCCCCTGGGCCTTTTAACTGTCCCCTTAATAGGGGTTAGTTGAACATTTGGTACACTCAAAAAGTGTCCACCCGTCCCCTTAATAGGGACGTCCCCTTAATAGAGATTAGCCGTAGTGTTAAATATATGTGCCCCCTCGTTTTACGGAAAAGTGTCCTCTTAATAGGATGTCCCTGAATGGTGTGTCCCAAAGGAGGGGTTCTATTGTATGTGAATATTAATTGATAATGGTTTGCTTTTTAGCATATTGAAAAATAAATGATATAAAGAAAACTGTTTTAACATTTACTTTCTTTGAATTTTATAATGCAGAAAATGATTTTTACGTTATAAGCGACGATGCGGAATGGGAGAAAACGACAATAATTGAATTGCAGAAAAGAAGACCAGGAATAAGGTGTATTTGCAGAGATGAATGGATACCTGGGAAATACAGACTTGAAAATTTAACTGAACCAGTTAATACATGCAAGAAGGTTGTTGTAGGATTTGCACCATCATCAACTGGCAGTCCAAATTTTCTGGCACAAACTGTTGTTCAAGAAATGCTGGATAGCAATAATATTAATGAAGGAAAGCTTATCCCTGTAAGGATTTCAAGAAATGCCATGATACCAAAATGTCTGAGGGTGTTAACGCCAGCAAATAGTTGGGAACATAATGTATATGAGAAGTTGCTGCGGGCATTAGACGGAGAAAGTAGGTCTTAGTCTTTTTCTTCTTTAATTTAAAAGCTTTAATTTTTACGATATATTTACGTTTTAGCATTATATTTTCCGTAACCTAGGATGGGACACATTAAAGTACTATCCCTCCGTGTCAGAGGGAACCTGAAACTCATCAAGGGTAGGGGCGTTCACCTCCTTGCATTATACAGACCACACTTTGCCGATTGTAAAATGTGTCTATTGATTCCCCTTTCTACCAGCTAAACCGACAAAACTAAATTTTCAAGGACATTACTATATAGCAGTCTTGATTTAAATTTTGTAGAACTAAATGCATCCTTTGAAAGCCTTGATCAATGAGACTCTAAAAGTTGCTTCAGGAAGCTTGTTCCACTGTTCGGTAGTTTTGACGAAGAAATGGTTCTTATTATAGTCTGCAGATGACATTGGAATATGATAGCAAAAATATTTTCTCTTCTTTTTGGTTGTTGATGGCTTTTGGAAGCAAGTATCATTGTGATTGCAACTTGACTATAATGGAGTTTATAAAACTTGGCAAAACGGGCCTTTCTTCCCTACTCTTTCAATGTTTCCCACCCCAATCTGTTGAGCATTGTTGTGACTTGGCTTTCTGTCCATTGAGACAAACCATGCTGCCTTCCTTTGAACTTCCTTTAGTTTCTTGGTGTAAGGATCCCACAAAACCCGGGCATACTCTAGCAGGTGTCGCACCAAGGGTTCGTATGCCATACTTTTCAGTCTTGGATTATTATTGTTAATGTTCCTTCTCAGGAAGTCGAGTTGGCCTTTGAAGCTGTAACATTGATGTGAGCGTTCCATCGGTGGTCATTTTGTGATGTTCAGCCCCGAATACTTCACCTTCTTAACGTTAGCTATGGCTTGTCATTTAAGGTGAAGAGGTTTTCAAGCGGCCTTTTCTTCCTGGAGATATATATAACTTAGCATTTTGTAGTGTTAAACTCCATCCCACATTCTTTGCTCCATTCATCAAGGATGCCAAGGTCTCTTTGTACTGTCTTAGCATCTGCCTGCACTACAATAGTTATATATAACATTGTGTTATCTCGAAGAGGCGAACAGATGAATTTAACTTTAAGTGGATGTCATAAATAAAATATATGAATAAACAAGGGCCAATTACAGACCCTTGAGGTAATTCAGAGAGTATTGGTACATTGCTTGATGTAGAACTATTAAAAAAACACATTGGTGACGATTTCTAAGAAACTCTGTGATCCATGCATTTATTTCCATTGATACCATATCATTTTAACTTTTTAACTAGACATCTGTGATCTACCTTGTCAAATGCTTTTGCAAAATCGAGCACACTTACATCTGTTTGTTTGCCACCTTTGGTGGCATTTACAACATCATTGACAAACTCGACAACTGCGTATGGCAGCTCCGCTTGCTCCTGATGATGGGTATAGAGGAGTTGGTGGTGCTCAACATGGGCCATGAAGCAGCTAGCGATAATGTGCTCCATTATCTTGGATATTACGCGGTAATTTCTTTTGTCGTACTTTTGAAATTTCTTAAAGATTGGGACCACATTTGCACCCTTTCATTCATAAGGTATACATCCAGTGTCCATGGATCTCTTAAAGATTTCGCTAAGATGTTCAGCTTTTTCTTCAGCAAATTCTTTCAGTACACATGGGCTGATGTTGTCGGGGCCAGGAGCCTTTTCTGGGTGGATATTCTATAAAAGTTTTACTACTTCACTGGATGTGATCTCAGGAATATCAAGAATATCTTTGAGATGAGTAGGAAGATCGTTATTGGTGATGGTGTCATTCTTCTTTATGGTAACATTTCTAAAAGGCTACTAGTGGCAAACGATTTGGCCGTTTTCAATTAATATTGATCTGTAGAACCGGTGACACCTTCCATACATGGATTTTCACAGTTTGGGGTCAAATGTTACATAGGGTAAACCCCCAAAAATTGATTGAAACCTACTTCTATCGATTTGGTCGTTTTCAATCAAACTTAATCTGTAGAACCGGTGACACCTTCCATACACGGGTGTTTACAGTTTGGGGTCAAACGTTACATAAGGTGAAACCCCCAAAAATTGATTGAAGTCTACAGTACTTCTGTCACAAATAATATAGCATAGTTTTTACTTTGAGCTAAGCAACAGGATAAAAAGACGTTTACCATTTGTGTGCTAATAAATAGAGTAAAGTTCTAAGTTTAAACTTTTAACACATTATTCAATGAGCTCAAATTTACCTGGAATGATCAAAGTTTTTTTTTACAAAAAGTTTGCCCTTTTAATGTCTATTTTTTCAATATTCATTTTTATTTGTCATTTAACATTAGGATCTTTCAGTTTTAAGTTTTTAATTTTTTAATACTAATTCTTTAAACACTGAATCCTTTTAAAAGCTGATTTGTTTTACCATTGAATCATGTTCTATGTTATCCTTTATGAACTAATTTACAATAATTCCCTTTTAACCTAAATCCTTCCTAAATTAAATGGTCAACTAATATTGTCTATATTCATTTAATACTAAGTATTTGTTTAGAACTGTCATCTTTTTTTTTAATGAAATCTATTGATTGTATTTGCTTTGTTTTTTTTAATATAATATATAGATATTATTAATAATAAAATATTGATTGATTAAATCATTACGATTATTCTACCCTTTAAGACAGATTTTGTTTCCCCTAAATATATTTTTTGCATTTCGTTATTTTTATAGATATCAAATTAAAAGTCTGTAATGATGTCGATGACGCCTGTAGTTCTGTGCATCATCGCCTTCAAAAATTGTTTGAGATAGATAATGAAGAAGGTTACAACATGTGGAAGAAAATAAATGACTTACTTTCGAAAAAAGAAACAGACTTAGAACTGCAATATGCAAGAGATGGATCTATAATATTTTATCTTTCTGTGTATAATCCTAATGCTTTGACGACTTTATGGAAAATCCATTTGAGTGGGCATCTTATTAAAGAGTTGGCCAATATATTGATACCAGAAGATCTACAGGAAGAATTTTTTAAAAAATGGGCAACAAAAATAGATGAGACTGAATACCATTCTGTTCTTCATAAGCTTAATGATAAAGGTAAGTAAGAAAAGTTTGATCTCAATTAAATAAAGTTTGTTTCATTATATTTTGATACAAATGATCTAAATGAGACTCCATCTGCTGGAGAAGCTTGTACCACAGCCTTTAATTTTATGTTAGCATCAAAATCGTACATAAAGAGGGACCAATATAGTAAATACTGTATGAAATTAAATATTGACAAATCCCTCCAAGTGGGAAATTGGCCAGTAAAACGAGAGGAAACCCCAACCTTTAGTAATGCGGTAAAAACAGAAAATATGCACTTTATTCATTCACATTCAGCCAAAAGTCTAACTAATAAATCAACTCCTAGATTACTCCGTCTACAAAACAGCTGGTAGGTAACAGCTATCAATGTCAAGCTATAATTTTAAAGGCAGAAAAAAAAAATTCTGCTTTTAAAGAGACCCGATAAACGCAAATGAAGATCAATCTCGTATTTTCTCATAATTTACATGAGAATATTAGCCTATATAATTATTCCTTATCAGCAATAACAATGGCGGATCCAGGAATTCGAAATAGAGGGGGGCCCAGGAAAGGACTTTGACAGATAGGAGTCAATCCACTTCAGATCCATAATAGTGGGGCTGAGTTAAGAAAATTTAAGATTATGGCACCTCTAGATGTCCGGAAATGGCGCTCTCAGACAGACGCTCACCCCGAAAAAATAATACTTGTCCCCCTCCTCAGTCGCCCATCAATCAATGCATGCTCAAGTAGTTGAAAATCACTTCGAATCACCTTACTTTGCGAGCTAGTGCCCTTAACTAATCAAC